CGAATTTACCGCTCTACTTCAATATCCGGATGCGGCCATATTGGTCAACCGTCTTAGATGAAACCCCCACCACCCATATGCTCTCTCCAGTCCTCCATGATGATTATATAGTCAAAGGGTGTGCCGTATAAAACTTTTGGCCAGATTGTACTAGAAAGAGACACAGATACCACTTAGGAGCCTCTTTGTCGGATCACGATACTAGCGCCCGTGCGCGTTCTAATATTATTATATTTCAGTGGGGCGAATTCACACCTTGACAGAAAAGCGGAAAACAGAAAAGCAGAAGCCAATCAGAACTCGCACTGGAGCAAGAAAAGCAGAAAGCAAAAACTATTGACTACCAACGCGGTTTTGATTGGCTTCTGCTTTTCTGTTTTACGCTTTTCTGTCAAGGTGTGAATTCGCCCTTATAGGTTATACTGTGAAGGCACCTTTATATTTCAGTGCAAATATCAGATGTCATATCTATTCTATATATATATTTATATTTCATGAGCTTGACCGTTATGTTTGTATGTAATAAGTTTGAAGTTTGTATTTACAGTTGCGGATATTTTTTTGAAGTGTCTTGCTACCGTTCATATTAATACAAACAATATATTAATAAAGACATATATGTGATAATGTTAACAAGTATATAATTACGTTATATATAAAATTCAGTTTGCTTGTTGGAATAAATATCAGTTATATACATTCTGATTGAGGAGTAAATATTTTGTTTGCTAGAAGAAAGGAACGATTCTTTCTCACTATAAATAATATATTTCATGGTAAGTATTATTTTATTTAAAAAATAAAAAGAGAGAAAGATGATTGAGAAAATAAACTGCATAAATAGTAATTTCCATAATATTATTAGTTTATATTTACGTATTAAATTTATTATTACATTTGTGTGTGTGTTTGTTTACATATTTAGAATTTTAAGAAGAAAATTGTTTCTATACATTTTAAACTTGTACATAAAATAAAACTTATAAGTTTACATAATTTTTGTTTAGGTAATTTCAAAATGAATAAAATAAAAAATAAAGCAGATTATTCTGGTTACCATACATTACTACAACCCGAGAATACAGGTTAGTTTATAAATTGTCAATTTGCATTCTCATGTGGAACATTTAATTGTTAAACTAAATATATATATATATATATATATATATATATACATGCATGATATATTGATTGCTGTATATTTAATAATTTGCTATAATTTTAATTTTAGTACGGAAGATACCTCAACCAGTAAAAGTTGCACAGTTACTGCGTTCATCTAAACAGTTACAAAATGGTCAAAAAGGTAATATTGATTTTTTATACATATAAAACATTAAGATATAAATTTTTATATCTTAAATTTTGTACATGTGTATATTGTTTTTTTATTTTTTTTGTCATATATACGGGTGTCTCCTACTCAATGGTACAGCGCTTGTGGGCAAGTAGTATGGACCAAACTGAACAAAAAAAGTCCTCTACCATTTCGTGATCTTCGCAATAGTTATCAAGATACTAATCATTTTAAAAAAAAGAAAAAGTTTTACGTAATGGCTAAGTTTTTGCTTCACTATGATTCTATTGATCATTTTAATAATTTTAAGTCTGTTTTACGAAACTTAAAGTTATTTGGAAAGACAATGGCATTAAACTTTTGCTGCATATAATTTTGAATAATTTAAACGATTTATTTAAAAAATATTTTTCTGGTTTGAAATAAAATATTTTTGTTTTTACTCTCTATGTCTAATCAAATACTTGACAATTTGTATGATCTCATATTTGTTTTTTGACAACTTTTATTTGTTAAAATAATATTTTTGGTTTAGATAAGATGTACCTAATGTAATTTTTTTTTAATAATTAGTATCTTGATAACTATTGCGAATATCGCAAAATGGTAGAGGACTTTTTTGTTCAGTTTGGTCCACACTACCTCCACACAAGCGCTGTACCATTGAGTACGAGACACCCTGTATGTACAGGGTGTCATTTTAATCGACGGATCCAAATATCTGCTAAAATACGCAAGCTACAAAAAAATGTTTCAGACAAAAGTTTTCGGACTTCGAGGGGGACATAAGATGATAACATTGGTTTGACCC